CCTCAATACTGCGCCAGTTGACAATGTACCCTAGGAACTTACCCGAGGTGACACCGAATACACACTTCTTTGGGTTTAGTTTCATGATAAATTGACGCAGAATTTGAAAGAAAGAATGCAAGTCTTGTATTAATTCATGCGAAAACTGTGTCTTGACGACCATGTCGTCTACATAACATTCTATCTTCGTGCCAATTAAGGGCTGAAACAGCTTATTCACAAGCCTTTGAAAAGTCGCCCCAGCATTTTTCAGTCTGAAGGGCATAACCTTGTAGCAATACAGGTCGAACTCGGTTATGAAGGTGGTTTTTTCCTCGTCGAACGGGTCCATCCTGATTTGGTTGTAGCTCGAGTAGGCATCCAGGAAGCTTAGCAACTCGTGTCCCTAGGTCGCGTCCACTAGGCGGTCGATCCTGGGGAGGGGAAGCAATATTTTGGGCAAGCTCGGTTCAGGTCGGTGTAGTCGACACACATGCGCCACTTGTCGTTTGCCTTTTTTACCAGAACTGGGTTGGCTACCCAGCTCGGGTAATGAACTTCCCTTATGAAGTCTGCTGCGAGGAGCTTCTCGACCTCCTCATCGACCACCCTCCAGCGTTCTAGGGCTAAGTTGCGTTTCTTCTGTCTAATGGGTCTGACTACAGGGTCAGTATTGAGCTTGGGAGTTATGAGCATAGGGTCTATGCCGGGCATTTCTGCCGTGGACCAAGCGAAAACATCTAAGTTACTGAGTAAGAAGCATACCAGTTCGGATCGCAGGGGTTCTTCCAGGGATGCTCCAACCTGAAGTAATCTGGCGGGGTCTTCTGCCGAGACAGAGATGGGAACAGTTTCCTCAGTTGGTGCAGCTCGCTCCTCGTTCTGTTCCATAGGTCGCTGGTTACCTTGGCCTTTCCCTTGAGGGCGACAAAGTAGCACTTGCGGGACTCGAGCTGGTCGCCCCGCACTACCCCGATGCCAAAGTCTGTTGGGAACTTCATGACCAAATAGTAAGTGGACACCACGGCTTTTAAAGCATGGGTGATCGGCCGACCTACTATGGCATTGTAGGGGGAGGGGGTCGCGACCACCAAGAAATCGTGACTGAGTCTTACCGTGCTAGGCCACGTGCCGACTTCCACGGGTACTGTGACCTTTCCCAGGGGTCTGACCTCTTCTCCGTTGAAACCGACCAGCGGGGTGTTCGCGGGCTTCAAGTCACTCTCTTAGAACTGTAGCTTGTTGAAGGCAGCTCTAAAAAGGATGTCTGTCGAACTGCCGGAGTCAATGAGTACCCGCCAGACTTTGAAGTCGTTGATCTTCATCTTTATGACAAGTGCGTCGTCGTGGGGGTAGTGGACCCTGCGCGCATCGTCTTCGATGAAGAATATGGGGTCTTCCGTCCTAGGCCGCTTTGGGGGATTTTGTTCTTCTCTGGCGGCCTCCCGGGTTGATGCTCGAGCTGCTGCCGAGGTGCATCCTGCTACGATTGATCCTCCAATGATCACATGGATTGTTCCCCGAACTGGTCTTTCCTCCAGGGGCTGCTTCTGCGGTTCGCCTAGTCGGCTGCTGGACTCGAGAGCATCTCTGTTGTGCTCTCCCTGCCGACCTGTCTTATTAGTATTATTATTATTATTATGTTGTACAAAGTTTTGTAGGTACCCGCGACAGATAAACTCCTCTATCTCGTCGCGGAGATTATTGCAATGCTCGGTGCTATGACCGTGGTCCTTATGAAAGCTATAGTACAAGTTTTTATTCCTCTCGTTCGGGTTTTCCTTCAGACGAGGTGACCACTTCACATACGGGGCGTCTTTGATCATCATTAAGATCTCGGCCCGCTTCGCGTTTAAGGGCGTGTAGTCCACCCGACCCCTGCTAAGGGAGCTCGGAACGACTGGCTTGGCTTCGGCCCCCGAGCTGGGTCTCTCTTTCTCCTGTCATCTGAGTTGGAGGGCTCGCCTTCCCTCTTCCTTTTTTCAATCCCGCCTTCAGTCCTTTGGTTGATCTCCTCCTCTATTCTTATGAATTTGTCCGCGAGGTTGAGGAACTCAGCTACGGTCGCAGGCTGGTTGACTACCATGTGCCACCTGAACTCCTTGTGTGTCACGCCCCTCTTGGCTGTCGCGAGCTGTACCGCGGGGTCTAGGCGTGGTATCTGCAAGCATGCGTCACTGAACCTTTTGATATAGCCCCGGATAGACTCTCCTTCCCTCTGGACTATTCCAAGGAGGCTCTCCTCGGTGCGGGGGCACCGCTTGCTAGTAACAAAGTGCACAGTGAAGACATGCACGAACTGGGTCTAGCTTCTTATCGGCCCAGGGGCCAGGTTCCTGTACCAAGTGCGGGCTATTCCCCTGAAGGTTGTAGTGAACGCAACACACATACAAGACTCACTGGCCCTTGCCAGGTGCATTTGGGACTGGAAAGCATCGACATGGTCATTGGGGTCAAAAGACCCGTCATACTTGTCTAGAGAAGGGAGTTTGAAATCCTTGGGCATGGGGACCACAAGGAGTTCTGATGATTGGGGCCACTTTTACCTTGTCCGAGCTTGTTTCTTCTTTACCTCGAAGCTCGGGCAGGATGCGGGTGGTAGTTCGGCGACTTCGCCGGCGTCTTCGCTACTGCTTAGAGGGCCTGGTGTTGGCACTACTTGCCTCGGTGTTGTCGAGGTTGATCGGCCCGAACTGCTGGTAGTTTGCTACCAGGACGCCGAATCGATTCTCTATGAGCGAGAGCTCGAACTTAGAGTGCCGAGGTGCTGACTTGACTGGCAAGGAGGTTCCCGATCCGCCGGTGAGCTGCGAGGCGGGGGTGATTAGTCTTTCCCTCCTGCCCGGGGATGGGGCCTGGCTCTTGTAGGGGTCCTGGAGTTGGGAGGCTCCTCCTCGGTGAATGCTCACGCCCTGAGGGGAGGGCTTGGCCAAATTCGGAGCAGGGTGCCGAGGTGGGAGCTATGGTTGGTTCAGAGGCAGTTGGGGGAACTGTTATTGATAGTGATACTGAGAAATGTGGTGCAGTACTTGCTCTTGATGTTGCTGGAATTGCTGCATCTGGGCTTGCATTGCCCGCATGCACTGCATCAAGTCATCAAACTGGTTTTGGCTAGTCGCCAGAGGGACAATGGCCGGTTCGGCGAAGGTTGTCTCGATAGGGAGGGGAAGGGGAACATTCACAGGTGCCACCATGCTTGGTGCATTGAGGCTAGGGATTCTGTCCGTTGAGAGGGGGACGGTGAACTATCCGATGCATACAGTGGCGGGCTGAAGGTGTTCCCCTATAGCATTCAAGTCCACGTTGTGCCTGTTGTTGCTGGAGGAAGCCATGGAAGCTAAGGTTTCTTTGAGAGAGAGAGAGAGAGTTAAAGGTTAGGGGAGGCTTTTTGAAGTTTTCCCACACACAGCGCCAAATGATGATGTGCAATCTGGTCGGTCCTAGCTGCTGGTTACCTCGCCTCTGACGAGATCGGAGGTGCCTGAAACAATGAAGAAAATGGAGACTTCCGAGGAGGAACCCGGTTGGAACACTCTGAAGCTCTAGTTAGTACTCTTGAGAAGGCAAGGGAAATGAGGAACTTTAAGACCAGAAAGCGCAAGAATCACCTACCTCCTTCCTTGGGAAAAGGGGGTCTTTTATAATCACCCTGTACACTTACTTCCATAACTCTGCCAGTTCGGGTATCATTACCTCCGCTAGATCGGGTGTCATTTCCTCTGCCAGATCGGGTGTCATAACCTCCACTGCCAGTTGCCAGTTCGGGTGTCATAACCTCCACTGCCAGTTGCCAGTTGCTAGTTCGGGTGTCATAACCTCCAGTGTTCCTTGTCAAGGCCATCTCTGCCACGTCTGAGATGGCGGTGGCAGGTGGCCGTTGGCAGGCAGTTGTCATGTGTCGAACCCCTAATCATTCAGGTGCGTCGCCTCCGTGTACGGGCTTCCTGGGCGTCAGGTACGGTTGTTAGTCAGGCTACTTGGAGCCGAAGTGGTGTGCAAGGTGATCTTGAGTTCGGATAGAAGTGTGGCCCGAACTACCCCTGGGTGGGCAGTTCGGGTTTTGTCTTTTGTGCTCCTTGTAAGGCTCAGGACCTCGAAGGGAGAGCTCGGGTTCCACCTTGGGGAGCTCGGGACTCTTCATCTCGGAGCTCGGGTTGTAGGTTCCCCCTTTGGGGGAGCTCGGGACTCTTTTTCTCGGAGCTCAGGTTGTGAGCCCGCTGCCGTGCCAAGCTGACGCTTCTGCCAGGTCACTCTCGATTGGTTCCACGTGTCGCATGGCCAAGGGGTTGGGTCAAATCTCCCTCCATCATTTCTCAAATTATAATAAATTTAGTTTAATAATTTAGACTGCATTTGACATTTCTTATTTTAAGGATTTATTTCTTTTTTACATTAAATTGTCACTATATACAACGAGTTTTTAATTACAAAATGGAGGAGGAATGTCAAATGACATTTTAAAAGCTCTAACTTGTTAAATTGGGTGGGAATGCTATTCAAAGAAACCCAAAATAAAGAAAACAATATAAGAATATATAAGAGATAGACAAAGAGAAGATATGTCCTTAAAATAAGTAATGCCAAATGTAAGACTAAAAGCTCTAACTTGTCGGATTGGGTGGGAATGTGATCCAAAGAAACTCAGAATAAAGAAAAAGAGAAAGAAAACAATATACAAATATATAGGAATGAGAGAGAAGATAAGAGAGTAAAAAAGAAAGAAGAAAGAAAGAATTCAGTTTAATAGTTTAAGGTCGCATTTGGCATTTCTTATTTTAAGGACTTATCTCCTTTTTAAGGTTAAAATGTCCGTATAAACGCTTAGTTTTTAATTGTGAAAATGAGATAAATCCTTAAAATAAGAATTGCCAAATGCAAGCCTAAAAGCTCTAATTTGTTGGATTGGGTGAAAATGTGATTCAAAGAAACCCATAACAAAAAAAAAAAGAAAAAAAAAAACAATATATGAATATATAGGGGAGAGAGAGAAGACAATAAGAGTAGAAAAAGTAGAAGAAATGAAGAATCTGGTCTAATAGTTGTATTTGGCATTCCTTATTTCAAGGACTCATCTCCTTTTTTAGGGTTAAAATGTTCCTATGAAAACTGAGTTTTTAATTGTAAAAAGGAGACAAGTGCTTAAAATAAGGAATGCCAAATGCAAGCCTAAAAGCTCTAACTTGTTGGATTGGGTGGGAATGTGATTCAAAGAAATTGTGATTTAGAAGGATCACCAAATGCTCAATGTGGTGAGATGAAGGAGTTGCTTGTCTACCTTACTTTCATCTTCTTTGCTTCTTCATTTGTTCAATCTGCCTCTTCAAAGCAAATCCAGATTTCTAACAATGGCGGTCTCACAGACATCGAAGCTAGATATATTAGGCAAAGGCAGCTCTTGTACTACAGAGACGAGTTCTACGACAGAGGGGAGCATTATGTGAAACTCGATCCTTCGTTGGTCTTTGAAAATCCTAGATTAAGGAATGCCTACATTGCGTTACAAGCATGGAAAAAGGCCATGATCTCTGATCCTCTGAATCTGACTGGTAACTGGGTCGGATTTGATGTATGTAACTACACCGGCGTCTTTTGCGCTAATGCGCTCGATGATCGCTCTATCAGGACCGTCGCTGGCATTGATCTCAACCATGGCGATATTGCCGGCTACCTCCCTGAGGAGATAGGGTTGCTTGTTGACATCGCATTGTTTCATATCAACTCCAACCGGTTCTGTGGCACTGTGCCTCATAAGTTGGTGAATCTCACATTGTTGTATGAGTTGGATCTTAGTAACAATCGGTTTGCCGGGAAGTTCCCGGAGGTTGTTCTCCGGTTGCCTTCGCTCAAGTATCTTGATATTCGGTTCAATGAGTTCGAAGGTAAGGTCCCTAGGGAGCTCTTTGACAAGGATTTGGATGCCATTTTCATCAACCACAATAGATTTGCCTTTAACCTACCGGATAATTTTGGGAACTCGCCGGTTTCTGTGATTGTTCTAGCGAACAATAAGTTTCATGGATGTGTTCCAGCCAGCTTGGGCAACATGTCAAAGACTCTGAACGAGATTATTTTGATGAACAATGGATTCCGCTCATGCGTGCCCAAGGAGATTGGTTTGTTGAAGAATCTGACGGTGTTAGATATTAGCTTCAATCAGTTAATGGGGCCGTTGCCGGATTCTATTGGGGGGATGGTGAGCTTGGAGCAGGTCAATGTGGCTCACAACATGCTCTCTGGGAATATACCCAGTAGTATCTGTTTACTTCCGAATTTGCAGAACTTCACTTATTCGTATAATTTCTTCACCGGTGAACCACCAGTTTGCTTGAATATCACGGGCGTTGACGATCGTAGGAATTGTCTGCGTAGGAGGCCGACGCAGAGGCAGGCAAGGGTATGTAAGTCGTTCTTGTCTCATCGTGTGGATTGTAGTGCTTTCAGATGTCCTCCTTTCATTCCGTCTCTGCCTTCTCCGCCACCACCTTCACCTCCCATCCCATTCCCTTCTCCACCTCCAGTTTACGCGCCGCCACTGCCACCCCCACCACCACCTGTTTACTCTCCTCCGCCCCCACCTCCTTCACCGCCACCACCTTCTCCACCCCCACCACCTGTTTACTCTCCTCCGCCACCACCTCCTTCTCCACCGCCACCTTCTCCCCCACCACCACCTATTTACTCTCCTCCGCCACCCCCACCTTCTCCCCCACCACCACCACCACCCTCACCTCCTCCCCCATCACCACCACCACCCTCACCTCCTCCTCCATCACCACCACCACCCTCACCTCCTCCTCCATCACCACCACCACCCTCACCTCCTCCTCCATCACCACCACCACCCTCACCTCCTCCTCCATCACCACCACCACCCTCACCTCCTCCTCCATCACCACCACCACCCTCGCCTCCTCCTCCATCACCATCACCACCACCACCACCTCCACCACCTCCAGTTTACCATGTTAGGTCTCCCCCGCCGCCTCCACCTAGTTCTCCTCCTCCGCCACCACCAATTTATAGTTCACCTCCACCACCACCAATTTATAGTTCACCTCCACCACCACATCATTCACCACCTCCACCCCATCATTCACCACCTCCTCCACCACATTCGCCACCTCCACCGGCTCATCAATATGCTTCCCCACCACCCAATTCACCTCCACCACCACCGCCGCCACCACCTCCCGAGTACTCCCCACCACCAGTCCATTACTTGCCACCCCCATCACCATCACCACCACCACCGCCGGTTCACATTTCTCCGCCACCACCACCAGCACCTGTGTATGACGGCCCATTGCCACCAGTTATTGGGATTCCATACGCATCTCCGCCACCTCCTCCCTACTATTGATTCCTTTTTTCTTCCTTCCACCTCTCAGTTAGACAAAAAGAAACAAATATTACAGACTTTTCAGTTATCTTAGCTGCCATAGCTTCTTCCTCTTCTTTTAGTTCTTTTCTGTCGTCTCTTGTTATATCTCTCTAGACAATCCTCAATCCTCATCAAGCCAGAGGAAGACCGAGGAGCAAGGAATAGAAGCAGAAATTTTGGTGCAATGATCCATGGGTTCCAGCAATACGTGCTCTGTATTGGGCGGCTCATTTATTGGCAAAGAAGAGACAGGGAAAAGAAATAAAAAAGAGAACAGAACGACAAGAAGTCAAGAAGAGAGGGAAGAGAAATTCCCTCCATATTTATTTGAATTGTTATGGATGTTTGAGTTGTGAATAAATTGGTAGAGAGAAGAGAAAGAGTAGGTTGCGGGAAATGTATAGGGATGAGATTCATGAAAAAGAAGTAGCAGGTCTGAAAGTTGGTAGCACCTCTTCTGCCTTCTGCAGCTACTGCTGCTGCTTTGTGGGTTTATTATTATTGCCTCTTTTTTTCATCACTTTTCATTATACTTAGTTTCTTTTCTTTCTTATAGTATGATCTTCAACATTTATATATTGATTTTCAGAGCATTCTTTCATATCATTGTTCTTGCTTCTCTTCTTTGTCTTTGTGTTCATGGATTGACAGCAGCAGATCTCTATGTAGGTTGGTCATTCTCTATCATAAACTTCTGAAACTTTCTGTGATCAGTTGATGCTTGACATGAAACAACGAGGTTCTCGTTCAAAGTGACAGAGAACCACAGTGTCCCCAATTCTGTGGTGGCCCTAACTCCAAAGCTTTCCTATCTGAAAGTGTTGATTAGTAGACAAAGCTCTCAGCCGAGCCATCGCCATCGCCATGTAAATTCCAAAAGTTGTTCTCCTCCTATTTGAAGAGTCCGGCTTCGGTCAGGGCAAAGCCCGTTCCAACAGCCTTTGAATTCAAATCCCTCTCTGTTTGATAGGTTCTTTACTCATGAATAGTTTGATTCCTCTATTTAAAATAAAAGAAGAAAGAAAGAAAGAAAGAAAACTGTTAAAAGCTGGTCAATCCGTCTTAGATAGATAGGCTGTTTCTTATTCCATCAACCAGAAAATCCCATCTTTTCTATTCATTTGAACTGTAAAACCTGATTGGCTGGTCTACTGTTCATGCTTCTTTATTTTCTGATTAAAGTTGATGTAGTAAGAGGGTCCGTCTGGTTTGCGGGAATAGAGATCCGGAATTGGATCGGAATGATCTATTCCTGATTCCAATTGTTTGGTTGGGCTGAATGGGAATGAGCCTTGTGGAATGGCATTCCTTCAATTGAGGGAATGACTATAATCTAATTCCAGTTAATTCTGATTTCCATTCCAATTCCAATATGAACCAAACAAGACGTGGAAGAGAATAAACCATTCCAATTTCAATTCCAACTTTAAAGTTATTAATATAACCCTCTTCGTATAAGGTGTAATCTTAAATCCTAATTAGGGATGACAATTTTGTGGGAATTTTCGGGTATTTAACCTGTCTCGATCCTAATAGGACTCATTTATCAAAACCTTATAGGGTTTGGGACGGGTTTGGATTTTGAATTTATGGTATCTAATACCCAATACCCGGGATGCATAAATATGAACCTATTATATTATATATCATGCACAAATTTATAAATTTTAAGTACAAAGATAATTATTCTATGTGATGTAAATTTGGATTTAATAGATTGTTTATTTCATTTAGTTATCAAATGCTAATTTTAAATATTATTTTTTTTTATTTTTACTTGAAATTATTAATCATATACATGTATTGATTGTTTTGATGAACATAAAAGTTAATAAAATCTATTTTATTTCATTAAATAATACAAAAGGTGAGATGGTTTAGTGGCTTAAAGTAGTGTTAAGTGACTTGGTGTTATTATTAATATCAATTGATCCAGGTTCAAGTCACACTATAAGCATTAAGAGATTTTTTTTAGTAGAAAACCTTTGTTCAAGGTCAAGGGGTTTAATGGGTGGGACAGGTCGGGACTGGTTTAATGGGTTTGGGAGATTGAGAGGAATGTTAATTGGATTGGTCTGCAAGTGTTTCCGCTAGGAATGTTAATTGGATCAGATTTGGTCCTGGTGTAATATAAATTCATACTGGTGGATCAGGTCCAGCCAATCTGATGAATACTGTAGACCATTTTGAACTAGTCCAATTCCATGGTTGGACTGTTCAATCTGTTCAAATTACCTTTAATTTAGATTGGTTCCAGCAACCCAAACTTGGTCCAATGACACCTGTCTTCTTATCTTCTATCAATAGACCAAATATTGGTTCAATCCGCCCAATTCAATAGAAATCCATTACAGATGGATCAGGTTCAATCCAATTCAATAAATACTTTGGATCATTAAGTCTGAACTGGTCCAATTTAATATGTCTTATTGATTCATTCAATCCATCTAAATTGATTTTGATTTGAATAGGGTCTAACCCAAAACTGGTCCATTAATATCCCTAACTGGATAACAGTGCTCCCAATTGTATTCATTGTTCATTGAAAAATTCAACTAACAGAAGGACTTACCACCACTCAAAAGGTCCCATCTTGATTTTGTACTATTGATTTGCAACAATCTAATAGGTTAAGCTGTTAAGTTGAAGGTAGTGTTCAATTTTTATGTCATATTATATATTCATAGATCCATAAATTTTCCTTCCAATATGAAATTGTAGCATATTTCTACAATTGATGAAATACTAAGATGGATTCACGTCTTTAAAATGAGCTCATCTACAGTGTTATTATTTTTCTTTCTTTTTATAATAATAATAACCGGGGTTTCTAGTGGCCACACAGCTAAGCCAAATCAGAGCTAAAATGGAACAACAAAGAGGAGTTTCTTCGCATGAGATAGTGATGTAACAAAGGATCCCAATTCCAACCCTCAAATCCATGGAATTAGTTTTTTTTTTTTTTTTTGTCTCAAGAGAAATCTCTTTTAGTTTTCAAGAAAGAATTTGATCAATTGATTTGTCGGGCCCTCCTCAAATCACATTGATATTTCAGTTTTAACTTCTAAATCCAATCCCTAATCATGGAGCCAGTGCTGAATGCAAGGCCACTGACAACCAAACTGTCTCATCTCCACATACATAGGTATCATGTGTGACATGAGGAAGGCTCTGGCCTGTGGGGCTCTCCCTCATTTCCATATAGAGATGCCATTTCATTCAGCATTGCTGAATTCTAAAATCTCTTCCTATTGGTGGCTATACATTTACACGTGACAACAACTATCCGCCACGCTGCAATATGACAAATGTCGAACCACCCCATTAGGGAAGTGAGCGGCATCACGTTCAAGTGTACGTACTACTGTTAATGAACAAATAAAGGGAAAAATTTGACCGATCAAAATCCACCCATAAATTTTGATAAATAATAATTTTTCCTACGTTCCAACTGCCAATCTACCATTTTCTACACCCTTTAGAATCGTGTATTACTATCCTTCATTCCAATGTTTCCACTCTTGTTATATTGATTTTAAGTCTTCGTTCAATTTTCGGTAAGTTATTTATCCAGTTAAGTGTTTCTCAGGAAAGATTTACCTGAATAAGTGCATTTACCCATATTCTTTTATTTTCTGTGTAAATAAGGTAATGATCATTTTATCCATAAAAATCCATTATTAAAAGAGATTATTTTTATTCCACTCAAGTGTTGACAATTTTCCCCTAAGGTGAGAAAGTTATTCACCCTCCCGGGTAAGTGATACCCAGGAAAATAGACTTTCTCTGATTTTCACATAAATCTGAAAAAAGAACACGGATTCTTGGTCAATGAAAATCAAAATCCCATTAACCAACTTTCCCCCTTTCAAAGTCCAAAAAAAGAACATACCCTAAGAGTAATCTATCCATCATATTCATGTTGTGTCTGACAATGTCGATCTCTTGAAAAGAATTAATCACCTTACCAACAGAGACGTAATGAAAAATTTATCCATCTTGCGAATGTGAATGATGATGTAATCTTGTTAATAAGACAATATCTTAACTCAAGATATCACATATCAATTCATTAATATAATAATAGTCTCTAATTAGTGGGGCTAGACGCCTAGTGGCTTCCTTTTTATTACTATCAATCAAAAGAATATGAAGATTCTCTTTAATTATGTAGTGGAAATGGACCATGTAAACAAGCCCATTTTCTTTTGGACCATTAATGTGGAATTTGGAATGCAATTGAAAATTCTAATGCCAATCCAATTCCATAGAACTCAAGATTATTAGTCTCTCCAAGAATCTCGACCTAAAGCTTCATATGTTAGTTTCCAAAGTTGAATCCAAAAGGTGGAATTTAGAAACTTTCTACTCCCACTACAGTTTCCACCCTGCTTAATACATCCCTGGGGCTTAGGCCTCACAAATCCCCGGATTTCTTTTGGTTCAAAGTTGAATCCAAACAGAAAAATCCAAGAAACTTGGTTGATATCAATGATATGTAAAACCACTCCAACTTTGTTGCATCCTTTGACATTCTTTTTTGTTTGATTCCACATAGTAGAGTTTTTGCCTCTTTCTTGTACTTGTGTGGAACAAAAAAAAAATCTGTTCAAAGTTCAAACTACTTGTGAGGATACCATGGTCACTGTGGCGATTGGGGCACATCTTGCTTGGATAAACCAAGCCCACACCCTCCCCCGCAAAAGAAGAAAAAAGTAATAATATTGAAAAAAGACAAACTAACCATTACAAAGGATGATCTTCAGAAGGGCATTTTTGTCTTTTCATCCTCAAAGCCTACCCATTTTGCTACAATCAGAATTATTTGAGTAATTAGATTTTTTTTTATATATGTAATATACATTAATGGAAAATCAAGGATGAATGAAGTGAGGTCCACCAGAGCTCTCGGCACTTCTATGGAGGGCCACCAAATGACCAAACAAAGTTGCCCTTAAATGAGGCTGAAGGGCTACTCGTTAGTTGTTTCTCATGGAGTTAAACCCAAGTAGTTTCATGAAATGAAGAAAGGTTTCGAGCTAATTATTAAAATTAGAGTTGGGAGTTTAAAACCTAGGGTTTGGACTAAGGTTGGCCTCAACCCAACTTAACCCAGCCCGACTTAGAGCCCTTAGGTTCCATCAGAGGTGGCCCTTCCTTGTACAAGTATCTCCTCCACGCCGACAGTTTTAAGCTAATCATGTTTATCAAGTTCTGTGGGAAATCATGTTTACCAAGTTAAGAGTTCTACTATAGTAAATTGCTGTAATATAAACTCTATTTTATATAGCAAGAGAGATGATATCACAGGTAAGTAATTTATTAAATTCACGAGGGTCCCTAAGTTTATAAGGGAGTGTATGTATATATGAGGTAAATTCATTGTGGGGTGGGGGGTTGATTAAGTAAACTGGAGAATGACTGACTATATGTGGTAAGCTTCATGTTGAGTAACATTTGCCTCAAATTAATCACCCAATATATATTCATTACTTCTCAAGTTTGGGTTTCAATCTTCACAAGTATAGCAAATTTGGTGTGGAAACATCGGTTCCATTGCGACCCGAGTGATCGGGGTTCAAATTTTAGTAATAGCTTCTC